TAAATTTGAGCAGTATTTCAACTTTGGATAAATTGTTTTATTTAAATTTTGAATTAATGTCTAATTTGTTTTTTGATATTTTGTTACAAAGATCCAGTTATTATGGTCTAATTACAGTTTTGTAAAATTTTAGTCAAAATGTTTGACTTTATTCAGATATTTATTATTGAGATTCAATTTATTTGCTGTTGACACTTTGTGGGGAAAATTGTGAAAATGGCTTACCTCGGAAAGCAGCGTTCGAATCTCTGCAGTATGCAAACTCTGGTCCTTCCAACGGCAAAAAGAAACCAAAATGGCGTAACCCATATTTTTATGCCGGGCTGTCTCGGTTGTTTTAACGCGAAATCTCATTGTCTCGTCATTCGCATGCAAATCGTGGTCGGTCCATCGGCTGTATAAAGCAGGCTCGTTTTGCTGTTTTGAATCAGAGAGCTTTTCGGCTCGTGAGAAGGTTGGACGTGCGACACTGGTTTTCTTTGTTCCTACCTGCTATCATCAGTTGAGTTGTTGCGTTACCTACCACAAGCTATTTCACGATGGACAAGTTCGATCTAAAATTGATCCCAGTTTTTGACGGCTCACCCATGGCCCCGACTATCGTCGAATGGTTTGAAAAAAAGGCAAAAGCGTGTTTTCAGGGTGTCCAAAATAAAGAACCTGCACTAGTCATCCCCTGAGACTCACGGGAGGAGCCTCTAAGTATATCAACAACTCGGGGACGATGCTGACCAAGAAGAGATCAAGGACACCCTGTATACGGCTTTTGAATAGACCCATTCATCGCTTGGAAACAGTTCCTTCGTTTGATTTCGAGCCAGGTGAGACCGTGGATATTTACCTGGCTGATTTGAGAAGGCTGGCAGTACCATTTGGCGGACCAATGGACCACATACTGTAGTGCGCCCTTCCTGGCAGGGCTTAACAACGACACCAGTCGGCTCCTGCGAGCATCTTCAAAGATTGGACAAAATAAAATTGACGAATTGCTGCCAGGGTTGAAAACATCTTGAAGGACCACGGAACAGGTCGCGGCAGCTGTGAGAACGCCTGAGACACCCGGAAGGGCCGAAGTGCTACAAGTGCGGTGGACCCAACCATTTCTCTAGGATCTGCCGGGCCGAAGTGACGTGGGAGGCGGGAGAGCAGACGGAAAAAAAAAAAAAAAAAAAATGCTATCGCTGCAAAGAGTTAGGCCATGTAGCACAGGATTGCTTGGGGAAGCGAGTCCGGGGACAAGGTGCTGTCGCAACCCTTGCCCCTCTTGGTCAGTAAATGGCATTGCCTGTTGTCAACATGTACGTTTCAAGGGTAAGCGATGTTCGCGCCGTTGACACTGGATGTTCCCGATCGATCGTTAGTGCGGATCGATGCGTGACATGGAACAGTCAACAAATCTAGATTGAGGACGATTGGCCTGGGTGTCCGGGCCTGTTGTGGTGTCGGGACTGTATCAGTCCCGAACAAATTGGGAATCATGCCAAATCGGCGTCTTTTTGGCATGTCAAGGCCCCTTGGGTGCGACCTACTACTTGGGATTGATGCGATCAAGCGTTAGGAGGCATGATAATCCGCCAGCCGGAAATGTGGAACTGGGTGAAAGAAGAAAGGTGTGTGCAGCCCTTTGCATTAGTGAGGCAGATTTCGACGTCTCTTTCAATTCCGGCGAGAGGGGTGTGGACCGCCAATTGGAAATGGGCTATAAAAAGACCCACCAGTTCAGCTTTTTCAACAAGGTTTCAGAGTACAAAGTTCCCGACAGCATCAGAGGAAAATACGAGAAAAGAGCTTCAGCAGTGGATTGTGAGCGGCTGGCTGATTCTGTACCCCAGGAAAGACTGGGACCCCCAAAGGGTCTGATTCCTTGATGGCAAAACATGCAGGAGCAGAAACAGAACATGCGTCCGGTACTGGATTACATGAATTGAACGACTTTGTGGATGCTTTCACTGCCGATGCAGAGGTGTGCGCACATAAGTTGAAAACATTATTATCTAGGGGTCAATGCAATGGCTTCTGGATCTGAATAATATCTTCAGATTCACATCGACGAAGCGCCAGGCCATTTCAAACGGTTATTTTCAAAGGCCAACGCTTCGAAAACAGCTAGGATTTGGGCTAAATGTAGCGCCACTCATCATGAAATCCGTTATAGACGCCATCGCATCGCAAGACCGCACAATTAAAAGTGCCACATCAGCATACGTTGATGATGTCTTCATTAATGAAAGTTTGGCCTCTGTATGGCGTGTAAGACAACACTTTTCGGATTACGGTTTGGTGTGCAAGGATCCGGTGCGACTGAGAGATGGAGCAAAGTTCTTGGCTTGCAGGTCTGGGAAGAAAATGGCACCCTCCGATGGAAGCGAGGAAGTCAAATTCCGGAAGCCCCTGATGTGTTGACCGGCGGCGCCGTATTTTCATTGTGTGGGAAACTTGTTGGACACTTCCCAGTGTGTGGATGGCTCAGGGTGGCAGTTTGCATTCGTCAAAGCGCCTACAACTGCAGCAACCAATGGATGGGATGATAACATCAAAGATCCCTCTCTCTAAAATACTAGCAGAGATGTTAAGTAGTCTGAGGGAACTGGATCCTGTTGGAGGAGACTGGTGCATGAGTGGTGGATCGAGATCACAGTCACGAAGATGCGTGCTGGACTTTCGTCCGACTAATGATGCCAGGCATATTAATTTGGCTGGAACTTCGATGCATAATTTAAAGGAGTGAATCTAACTTTCCAGTGGAGGCGACAACGTTGCTCTTGGTTACTGATTGGCGTGTGTTGCGGTGGATTTCAGACACCTTGACCAGGAAGGCATGGGTGAACACAAGGGCGGCTGGCGAGATGCTGGTTAGGCGGCGGCTGGGCATTTTTGCGATCGCTGGTGGAAGAATATGGATTGACCGTGGGCGTGACGACACTTGTGCAGTCCTGTCAGAACCGTGCGGATCGCCTCACCAGTACCACACAGGTGGCTAGAACTGCTCAAGAGAGAGAACCGGCACTTTGGAGAGCTGTGCAGTGGCAGGGAGGCGACTGGATGAGGACCAGGTTGAAATACAATCGTCAATGCGGACATCCGGGCGTGAATCGAACTCTGTACTTTGCCAGGTTCTAAACCCGCGGGTGTCCAGAGAAAGCGTTAAATCCGTTGTGAAGGCCTGCACAACCTGTCAGTCGATCGATCCGGCACCCGTTCACTGGGAAAGAGGAGAACTGAGCGTGAAGAGCAACTGGAGCAGACTGGCAATGGACATAACTCACTACATTGGTGAGAATTTTTAACACTCATTGATTGCGGTTCCTCCAGGTTTGCGGTATGGCGGCGCTGCGCAGACAAAGACATGACACCGTCATTCGACTGTTGGAGAATGCTTTCCTGGAGCGAGGCCCACCATGGAAATACTGACGGACAACGATACTGCATTCACCAGTAAAGATTTTGCGGACAATTGGGACGTGCATCTGCGGTTTCGATGTGCCTACTCGCCAAGTGGAAACGGCATTGTGGAGCGGAACCACAGAACCATCAAGACCATCGCAGCCAGGAAGGGCTGTACAGTATCGGAAGCGGTTTACTGGTATAATATCGCCCCTAAAGATAACATTTCACCATCCACGGCGCCGGCTGATGCACTGCACAAATATCATGTCGTGTGAAAGGCATTGAAGCCAACCCGCTGCCTGAACTAGAAGTGACTGGAGGAGATTGAAAAAGGAGACGTTGTTTGGGTCAAAACCCCGCGGCAAGTGTGCGACAAAATACGGCACTGGGCGTGTTACGGAGGTGATCAGCCCGCAATCTGTGAGAGTTGATGGGGTGCCTCGTCACATTAAAGACTTGCGACCGGTGATGCAATCACTACAGTTTTACTGAGCGATGAAAGCGATTCCGAGTCTGGGAGTAGTGGCGTTCAATCTGCCTTAGAGTTAGACCTGCAGGGCAGTGATTCTGATAACAGCAGCCTCCCGGCGGACAGACAGTGTTTACCGACACTCAAACCCAGGCGAAACGCGCACGAGGATGAAATTTGTGTTATCCCCCTTCGGGAGGGGGACTCGATTGGCGACGATCGCCACCTCCTTGCCCTGTTTGTGATCATGAGATCAGGGGAGTGTGGGGAAAATTATGAAAATGGCTTACCTCGGAAGCGTGTTCGAATCTCACGCTGTAGTATGCAAACTCTGGTCCTTCAACGGCAAAAGAAACCAAAATCGCGGCGCCCATATTTTATGCGAGGCGGTCTCAGTTAATTAACACGAAATCTCGTTGTCTCGTCATTCGCATGCAAACAATTGGTCGGTCCGATAAGCTGTATAAAGCAGTCTCATTTTTGCTGTTTGAATCAGAGAGTTTAAATTTCGTGAGAAGGTTGGACGTCGACACGGTTTTCTTTGTTCCTCCCTGCTATCATCAGTTGAGTTGTTCGTTACCTACCACACACTTTAAATATTTTTTTATATTATGAATCAAGAATTATAAATCAATGTAAATACTTCAAAACAAAAACAAAAAAAAAACAATTTGAATGTGTTCTTAAAGAAGGAAGCTCTGATTAAAAGTTCTATCTCAAAGATAATTACACAGTGTAACATTCCATTGTTTGATTTAACTATAAAAGATATCAGTGTTTCAAACTAACTTTTCATATTAAATATTGTCATTTTGAAATTGTATTTCTCATTAAATTTTTACAATTGTGTCCATATTTAATTTTATCCATATATGATTCTAGATGTGATATTTTCACTTGTTTGATTTTATCTCTGCTGGATTATAGATGTCAGAGAATCATTTTTTCTAATAAATAAATAAATAAACTTTTGATACAATCCTCACTTTGTTGTAACAAAATCATGAAAATAGTTAATGCATTAGTTTGCATATTAGTATAGAATTTCAGAGAGAAATAATTTAAACTTGAAAGTTTTAATTTTTATCCATAATGTCTAAAAAATTTCTTCCAATTAGAATTTTAATGTTTTTTCTATCTCTAGGAAGAAAAACAAAAAGCCTATAGACGGGAACGGAAAAAAGCTGGGAAAAGGAAAGCCGATGAAGATTATGATGATGTTGATCCAGATATGGCTGCAGTGATGGGATTCTCAGGTTTTGGATCAGCCTCAGCAAAGAAATAAAAATAATAAATAAATCTCCTCATATTGTGGGAGATTAGTTTATCATTCCTATTGTATTAATAGGTTTACAAGTTTTAATGTGAGAGAAGTTTGCATTTTTTTCCATATTTTGTCAAATTTCAGAACAATAAAACAAGTTCACTTCAAATTGATATGCTTTAACTTGTTTTGGGATTTTTAGCATGTATGATTTTAAAAAGTTAACACGTTTGTGGATGTGTTATATATATATATATATATATATATATATATATATATATATATATATATATATAAATCTTATTACTATATAAAACTCTGAACTTTGTATCTTGTGTGTTTGCCAGATGTCATATATAGAGAGTTGGGAAAAGAAAGATGTAAATTTATTATCATGTAGGAAGTGGGTGGAGCTGATTTTCTTATGAGAAAGTGTATAAAATACACAAAACAGCCCCAAACATGATACACACAGCTGTCATCAAGGCCACCACCACTCTTGCTTGTGAACTTCGCCCCATGTTGAAAGTGACAGCGCTGACAAACTTCAAAGAGACTGCTTCAGACTATGGCAACACCATCCACAGTAAGAAACAAATTCTATGTCTTGTATCCCCTTTACCCCTGCACACATGTTGAATTTTTCACACAAGCACACACATAACAACATTTCATTTCTCATATACGTACACAAAGAGAATTTATATTTTATTTCGAAATTTTATTAATCCAAACAAAAAGATATTACTTTCCAATCTATGACCAATTATTTATTTATTACAACTCTTATTACCATCAATTGTCACTATTTAGCTACTACCACTTCAATTATTTTTTTATTATCTTTTCCATTATCATCATTATTATTACTTATTTATTACCACTTCAATCATTATCATCATTATTTCATTATTATTTTATCATTATTTATTATCATTATTTATTATCACTATTATTTACTACCATTGTTATCATTATCGTTCATTACTACTACTATTATTACCATTATTATTTGTTACTACTACTACTACTACTATTATTATTATTCATTATTACCAATGTCACATTCTTTTACAATTATACTTCCCTTCCCCATCAAGATTAAAGCCAATATTCCGTTAATGTACCAATAACTATTATAAATTAGAATATCAGTTATTTGGACTATTAATATAAGTGTAATTGTCTATAACACACAAGCAATCAACATTAAAAATAAAATCATCTTCACTGCCATATTCACATATAACCACTTTAAGCAATGTGATGATGTAAGGCCCAGGCAGAAAGAGAAAAAAATATATGTACACACATATATATGTGTCTATATGCATGTGAGGAGACGGCCTGATGATTATGTCTAGCATGAAATAGCCTGTCGCCTCTGAGTGTTGACTTTAATGTTCACTTATATACATATATATATATATATATCTCCAAATACAAGGTTGGTATAGATGGAATAAAATTCCAGTAACCAAAAACACCGTCACTTGACAAGACACCAGAAGTGTGGAAACAAAATGATTAAGTTTGTCCTTGAAGTGTAACCAAGAACTGCCTACATTACGCTTACCATGAAAAAGTTGGCTATACATGAGGATTTTTGGCATCCAATCATCACTCATTCTGAAGACATGACCAGCCCATCTGAACTGTGATTTCATCAGAAAGGATTCAATACCACCAACACCACATTTGATGAAAAGATCAAGGTTAGTGATTTTGTCCTGACATGTATAACCATATATTGAACAAAGAAAGCATTTATAAAAAGCATCAAGTTGATTGATGTGTGTCCACGATTCTGACCCATAAAGAAGTGTGGTCAGAATGACTGCACGATAGACACTGATTTTCGTCTTCAGTGAACATCCCATAGGTGATGCTTAAGCTTCCAAAAGGCATTGGTTACCTTTGATATTCGGTTAACTATTTCATCACCCAAAGAGACACTTGAATTGATTTTGCTTCCTAAGTACAAGAATGATTTCTCATACTTCAGACTGTTGCTGTCAACAGGAATGGGAAAGGTATAGGCAAGAGGTTTTTGTTTTACACCCTTGACCTACTTAGGTGTAGGCCTTGATAGATGAACAACTTCAGTTTTCTTTATGCTTATAGTTAATCTGAATGGTTTACAAGCAGTGGAGAAACAATTCATGAGTGCTAGAGCTTCCTCAATTGTGGTAGCCACAATTGCAGCGTCATCAGCAAAAAAAGATAATGAATAATGCTTGCTCGAGTGAACAATTTTGATTTAAAACGTTGATGGTTAAAGAGACTGCCACTTGTGCGGAATTCAAATTTCACACCCATGTCAAGATCACTAAAAGCATGGTGTAGCACAACCGAAAAGAAGAGTGAAAAGTACAGTAGCCATGACAACCTTGTTTTGTGTCATTTGTTAGATCAAGTTTCTGAAAACACTCCATTAGATAGAGCAGATATATATATATTTGTGTGTGTGTGTGTGTATAATACATTCTATTCTTATTAATAATGGTTCTTATTGATCATACAATAGAATAGAAGGTAAAAAATTTTAGTATAACTCCTAAATTTGGCCCCCTGGTATGCATCCAATTTATCTGAAATTGCCTTGGCTTGGTAGAAAGTGTAAAATTCTAAACAACAGTTTCCAAATCTGACTCAGCTACCTTTTTTTTTTTCAGCCAACTTATGTGTTGTTTTTGGTATCTGTCCAGTGTTTCCTTCCTTTACTAAATACCGGCTGTCCTATGTTAGTAAGAGTTCACTTATCTACACGTTCAAGTGCCAATGTGAGGCTGAGTACACCCGTCCAGTATTTCCTTCCTTTACCAGAGACCGGCTGTCCTATGTTAGTAAGAGTTCACTTATCTACACGTTGAAGTGCCAGTGTGAGTCTGAGTACATAGGCCAGACTAGTCTTTACATTGGAAACAACTTTGGATCAAAATGTTACTAAATTTGTTAGATTACATTCAAGTAATCAGACTCGTGTATCACAATCTGTATAATACTCGGAAATTGGACAGCACCTATTAGAGAATGAGATGTGCTTATCATGTTTCACAAGTGATTCATTCTCTGTCTTGCATATGGGTAGGTCTAACCACAATTAGTTTTAGAAGCCATTTAAACAAACTGCAGCCAAACTTCTTAAATTACTGCAGCCATCTCTTTGCAAACAAAAGAACTTTTTGTGGTCCCTTCACTTATTTGGAGGTTAGTGAGTGACTCTTTTTGTTTTATGCTCTTGTTGGTTCATTTACATTGGTTCTTAAATTTACGTGCTTATTTTAATTGTAAATTTGTTTTAGATGTGTTCCAACTTTATCTCCAATTTCCACATATTTGCAGACCAATTTTATTACATCAGCTCTGCCAACAATCAGCCCCTGGAGAAGCATTGGCTGAAAGGTTGCATAGTTCCATATGGTGGGGGAGAGAAGGAGCACAAAATTGAGTGTATTCAGTTCTATTTATTTATTTATTCTTTGATACCAAAACAATTATTTATATATATATATATATATATATATATATATAGTCAACTCTCAGTATTTTTTTTTTTTGTAATTTTTTCTTCTACCAGCGTTCTGTGGTTGACTCTTTGTCACTGCCACCAGCCTGTGTCCTGGTTGATCAGTGGTCGTTGCTACTTGGCAAAATTCCCTGGTCAAGATACCAATATGGGACAGGTGGTCACGGCACCAATATGTGACACCAGGGTCAAAGTCTGGTCGTCGATGTTAACGGCTTGACCAGCTGTACCGGTTCAATGCCAACTCTATAGTTCCCAGCTCACTTGCTTCGTCTGGTTACTGGAGTAACTGCTTCGATCTCAAGTCTAACCTACCCACGTTGTGACTTTGATCTTAGGTAGACGAGATCAATCAGGTGTCGGGCTATAGTGTAAGCTGAGTCCAGATTGAAGGTGGTATCGCACAAGTGCAAAGAAGAAAAAAATAAAGAAAAACCCAAGACGTTCAAGTATGTTAAGAAATAACAATTTAACTTTATCCTTCTGTTATATACAGGAGTGTGTTTTTCTCCCAGCCCATTTCCTATGAAATGTGACACTTCTATGTTTCAAGACAAGTTCTGGTCCTCTAAGTCAACTGGTTTAGTTTTTAGGTGTTGGCTTGGCTTCATTGATCAGTATAACTTGCTATTGGTAGGATAGGCGAAGTCGGAGATCATGGAATCTCTCGCTCAGCTTCTGCAAGGCAACACTCTGGTTAAGCTCTGACTCTAACTGCAACTCAAATTGAACTAACTGCCGAACAACCACAGGACGTTCGTTTATATGGGTACAGGCCAAAATCCAGTGTGGGCCAGATGCAGCCTGGGGTTCTCGGTAAATCTCGATTTCTAACAAGAAATCTTTTTGTTGTCAGACCAGGAAAATTGATTACTTCCCATTTTTGGAAAATTAATCACTTTCCATTTCAGGGGTTTCTCCGTCATCCATGAGGGAAGATCGGAAGAGAATTATCCTCCTAGACTCTTTCTCTCTCACATTGATATCTCATACCAATCCCTTCAGGGGGTGTTAACAACTTCTCTGCCTTTCTCATCCATTCACCTCCGCCTATCACCCATGCTACGACTCAACAAATAGCATTCTGGCAGTGTGGGTGAAGCTAAGCTGGCCTCCTTAAAATTATAATCTAGAATTTTCGTTTACAAAATTCTCCTTTCCGATCGGCCAAAATTTTTACAAATTCCACATTGCCAATGAAATTTTTATCATATCTCTTTTTCCTAAGCCACCCAAAAGTCACTTAGCCAGCACTCTTTACTGACTCATCAATCACTGTCAATGTTTGCCATCTGGTCCTTACGTTAAGTTAGCTTTATAATGGAATCCTTGACTTGTTAAGAAATTAAATTCTTTTATCTTGCCAAATCTCAATTCTCCACTTTATTTTCTATCTCATGCCAAAATTTTACAATTGCCACATTGCTATTCAACGTCTTAGCGTCTGTTGGTAAAGTAAATGATAACAATCCTCTCACCTATATCGAGACAA